ATGCACCAATCATGATGGAAAATTCAGTTGGATTCAAGCTTTTTTCATTGTAGGATCGAATCAATCAATAACTACCGATTTGGGATGCACCGATACTAGTATCAGTGCCGATACCGAGTATTTGAGCGAGTAGTCACCCAAATGCTCCGATACCTTCCCTGATACTGGAACTTCCAGTGAGAGGGAGATTTCCTCTGACCGGCAGTGCCACGAGGGAACATGGAGCCGGCTTCCCGGCCAATCAGCATCGTGCCAGCCAAACAGCATGAAGCCGGCTTTTCAAGATACCAGAACTTCCGGTCAAAGGGAGATTTCCTCTGACCTGCAGTGCCGCGAGGGAACATGGAGGCGGCTTCCCTGCCAATCAGGAAGCTGGGCAACGGGTAATGACTCGCCACCTGGCTTCCTTATTGGTCGGGAAGCAGGCTCCATGCTGATTGGCTGGGAAGCCGTTTTCCTGGGCAATCAAGAAGCTGGGTGGCGTGTATTGACACGCTGCCCGGGTTTCCTGATTGCCCGGGAAGCCAGCTACATGCTAGCGCAAGTACCAGTATCGGTACTCGAAAGATAAATATCGGTACTCTTGATACTGAAAAACCAGTATCTGTGCATCTCTACTACCAATAATCAATTGTTAGTTTGCTGTTACGCTTACCGCCAACAAGAACCAATGGCCAACATTGAGTTCAGCTCAATATGTAAAGAGAACCTGCCACTTTGCCCATTCAAAGCAAAGTAACAGGTCCTCTTGACAGCGAAAGTCCGCTGATACTCACCTTGGCCATGTTCCCCATGCTGCTTTGTTTGTCCGTCAGATTCCTTGGAAGTTCCCAATGCTACTACGTATAGGAAGAATTTTACCTTCTTGTCCCAGAATGCAGTGCTTGGCTATCATCGGCCAATTGCTAGGCCCACAAGCTGTCACATGGAGGAGGAGAGATCATTAACCCTGCGTAAGCATTAACATTGATGCAGGGCTTAGCCTCAGGACTTAGTTTCAGGGTTTAGGAAAAGTGAGTATCACTGAGTTTAACAGTTGCATTTTCAAGAGAACTTGTTACTTTCCCTGATTTGGCAAAGTAACAGGTCCTCTTTAAAGAGCCACGCTTAGCCCATTCTCTGATATACAAATGACCTCTGCACACATCTGTGTATGGACTACAAAAGTCATATTACGGAGCAGCAAATATGAATACGAAAGTTTGTCATAATAACTTCCAGCAGGAATGTCCCTTTACTGAGGCAGCCTGAGGTGGTTGCCACAGGAGGCAGCTCTCATTGGGTCACATGGGGACCCAGCAGGGCCATCCCTATGATGAGGCAGCCTGAGACAGCATCTCATTGGGTCATGAAGGGACACACCTGCCGCCCCCTTGCCAACCAGAGCTTCCCAGGTTGCTAAGAGCTTTTAGCAACCTGGGACACTCTGGCCGGCGTCCCGCCCAGCTCAATGACATCACTGTTTGCCAGGAGCTAAGTGGGACGCTCTGGCTGGCGCCCGGCCCAGCTCAATGACATCACTGTTTGCCAGGAGCTGAGTGGGACGCTCTGGCTGGCGTCCGGCCCAGCTCTTGGCAACCAGTGATGTCAGTGACCTGGGCAGGACGCTGGGCAGAGGTACTGTGCAGCTCCCAATTGCTTCCCTAGTGCACCACCAGCACCACCATAAGCCCCGCCCCCTGCCTCAGGCGTAGAAGAGTGAAGGGACGCCCCTGACTTCCAAGCAAATGGTATAATAATATCTAAAAAATGACTTTACACAAAAAATAAAACTTCAGATTCCCTTTAACATTATGAGAAAACATTTTATTCATATCATTTTATTTTAGAAATTACAGCTGTTCAGTTAAAACAGATCAGTAGAAAATATAAAAACATTAACAGACTTCATATTTATAATATTTTTCATGTTTTACATTATATATTTTTTTCTTTTCATGAAATTCCCCTCCTCTTTGCCTCTTGAGAACACTGTCCATGATAAAGCATAAACATGCCTGAAAATATTTCACGTAGTACTTGTAGCTATTTTTTTGGCAGCCATGACTACATCCATCACAAAACTATAAATAAACTTTAAATATTATTACATAAATAATGATTTAGCCTCACATTTGTAAATATCACTAAAGAAAAAATATAACACATTCAGATTTAGTGCAAATATAGTGTGTCATACATTTTTTAACTATATAGAAAAACAAAATATATAGGTAGCTTATGATCTCTTTTTTTTAAAGGGACTCTGTCACCTTTTAAAAAAAAAATAAAAATAAAAAACATCCAGCAAAAAAAAAAATAGACTGTCTACACTCACCTGCTGCCTGTTCCTGGAATCTTTGACCGAATATTTTTTATATCTGACATACTTCCAGGTGTGTCCGATGGCTGTATTCCCCTGCCACGTGCTGTGGTTTGATCTGCTGGCCCCTACATCATAAGGGGTGTTGAAAAGAACCACCTTGGCCAGTGGGGGACACAGCCATCTGATAACCTTCTGGTTGTGCAGATTTATTTTGGCATCTCAGGATTCGCGGAAATGGGCAGCAGGATTGGTGATTATAAATGCTTCTCGTCTTGCAGGATTTTTAAAAATCTTATTTAGAAAAACCAAAACAGGGTCACTTTAATATTCATAAATACAGTACAGAAAAATATAAAAATGTAGAACACCGTGTAAAATATTAGTCATTTTTCGATAATAATAGTGAGTTTGTAGGTTTGAAATTCAAAACAAGACATACGTACGGGGGCTGCCATTGCTGACCTCCTTTTAAAAATGGAGGTTTCCTGGTTGTCTCCGTCTTCGCTACCTTTCGATACTGAGCTGAAACAAGCCCTTGTATCAGAGTGAAATGGAAACTCTTAATCTACATACTTGTGCAATGACTACCAGGAAAGAAGAGGTCGGCAATGGCGGCCTCCATATTGCTTTACTTTAGGTTTCCTTGAAGGTAAACCATCCTGCTTGTTAATCTTTTTTTTAATTTCAATTTTCTTTTTATTGTTATTATTTTTTTCCATCACCTACGTAAAATGATTACTTTATAAATAAATATTTATTACAGAATATTACTGAGTATTTCTCTAACATTTAGTTTAGAGTAACTACTAGGCTTACTAGTGAGAAATCCCAGCACTGCCTTTTCCACTTGTTGACTGCTTCTATCTAATTAAACATACATGTCAGGTAGAAGACAACAAGGGGGATGCGTCCCTCCTCTGACTTGCTCAGCTGTGTTTGTTTCATGAATAGCCCTGTACAGCAGGAGGATAAATGACACGGGCTATTTAGAACATATACAAATAAAAAAATCACTGCAGAAATGCAAGGGTGTTTCAGAGTTGCAATAGTTTGTGACCAATGCATGCCTTTAAAAAAGAAATATTAAACAAAACACATTTCTTTATAGGCACCATGTTAGCGCCCTAAAGAAATCCAAATACCAGCAATCGTCCAAGTATTGTGTAAGAGTCCAGTATCACTGTTGGGTCCTGTAGTGACATAAAGCGCCGGATTAACTCTCTCTTCTGCCCCAAGGCCAGGTACCTCAACGCTCCCCCATGTATGCAGGCTGCATACAAGTGATCTCGGCGACATCGCCAAGATCACTTGTACAAAACAAGCGGCGGCTCCCCCGCTGTACATTCAGCCCCGCTTGCCCAAAGCAGGGCTAAATGTAGAAAACAGCTACCCGCCCAATGCCCAGAACTGCATGCCCCGTGTGTCGGGAGATAGGAATTGCACACCTCTGCTGCCCCTCTACTTCCTGCTGTCCCGAGGCCAGGTCTTGGTTGGCCTTGTAGGAAATCTGGCCCTGGTGGTGGGGGACTCAACGCTCCCGGGAGTTTGGAATGTCGAAGTCACTGATGGAAGCTGCAGCTCTGGACCACAAGGGTGGGAGGACACATGGGTCACTAGACAGATGAGTATCACAGCTCTTCTCTTGCAGGTTACTGATATCTGGATTTGTTTAGGGACCTGACAGAGTCCCTTTAGACAGCAGCTTAAGTACATAGAGAGTCCTGCATAATTATTGTAAACAGCGCAGTTCTCATCAGTGTATTTTAGCTCAGTGTGCTTTTAAATCTTGCTTGCTCACAGCAGCTGAATAATACAGCTTGTACTGTATATAGAATACATTATGTGTACAGGACATCCTCCCCCTGGAAGATGCAAGCAGAAGCCATATGAAAAATGCAACAAAACACATCACATTCACACACATTGAAAACCGCACTTAAAAATGCAGTGCGTTTTCTTAGGTGGTGAACTGTGAATGGAATACATTCATGGAAACGAGTAGTAAATATTCTATGAGAAGCTTTCACAACTGTAAATATTTTAAATATTTCAACTACAGTGAGCAACAGTAGATGCCTATACACAGCTCATATCCTGCCCAGTAATGTCATTGTAATGAAGGGAAGAAAGTCTGTCTGTGGTTTAAAGTGATCCTTTCCTTAAAGACATATGGGATCTGCCACTGCTAGCCTAGTTAAAAAAATTCAGTTTTTCTGCCTCTCTGGCATAAGTACTTGCTGAGCCCTAATTTTGGAAATCAGAAGGTCAGAGTAAAGTCTGGGGTACTTATCTGCATTCAGCATGCAGCTCAAAGTATTAAAGCCAGGGGAACCTGGAGGTTGCTGTAACAATTGCTGTAACTATTTAGAAAAGTGCTATCAGAAGTTAGAATTTATTGATTTGTCTTTGACTGAAAGCCCATTTTAAACTCCATCAAAGACTACAACACTGCTGTGTGTTTCTCTACAGAATGAACAGCGTTGTCACCCTATTACAGGAAGTGGAAAAATAACCCATCTATCAGCAGGAATTACAGGTAAAAGAACTCAGTTGCAGGGGTGAATCAAAAATACAAAAACTGCTGCGTAAATGCTATTAACAGACTTTATCCTAAATGTCATTTTTGATTTTACCCATACTGCTTAACTGAGGGAACTCTGATTTTAGCGTAGTTGCCCTGCAGTCCCTCCCCCAGTTACAAAGCATACAAGCCAAAGTAGGTGGCTCCATCTAGGCCCAACAGGTAGGACATTTCTGAAGTGTGGGTGTACAGCTTATCTCCCTTTTCCAGTTGAAACACTCCTCCTTGGAAGATGGACTTCCTCCATCCCAGGCCTAATTGCCCATTTGTGGACTGGCCTGCTTTTTTCTCCTCGCAGACCGTCTTCTGCGCATGGAGCAGTTGTATCGGGGCTTCCTGCCGTATGGATTTCAGGATCACAGCATGAGAAAGGAGGAAGGATGTCAATTTAGGGCAAGTTACAACTTCAAAAGTGACCTGGGTGTAGACAAAGTAAAGGCCCTTCTGGTTGATGTGCACCTCATTGTTAATTAGTGACAGATTCCCGTTGATAAACGTGCTTTCCGTATTATTGGTCCAGATCAGAACTCCATTAATGGGTGTGGTAGCTAAAGAGGAAACAAAAATTGTAATTGTTGGTAAATTTAACAAACACGAATCAAAACTCAGACAGACAGGGCAGTCATCGTAGAAGAGGGAAGAGGAGGGAGAAGGAGGGGTATAAAGAGGAAGAGGAAGGGTCAGGGGTGAGGAAAACGAAGGGGGTCAAGGAAAAAGAGAAAGGCGGTGAGGGATGGAGAGGAGGATGGTAGTGTAGAAAGATGGGGTACTTGAGGAATTAGAAGACAGGAATGCGGGAGAAGAAGGAGGGGTGGGGTGAGGAAGAAGAGGGGGTGGGGGTGTTCTATCAAAGATTATGACTGGGTTGGAATGTGTGACCGGTCACGTGGTCACACATTTTAACGTAACCACGCCCACTTTTTCGGCGGTTGAATATGTGACTGGCAAAAGGTGAAGAATCCCAAAGCTTTCTCAGCTATTTTAGAGCAGATCAGCATCGCAGATGGTATGTGCAGGAGAACCGATCTGCCCTGGAACAGCTGACCGGTCCTGAAATGTCACTTCTATCTGACTCTGTGGAATGTGAGATCCCACTCACAAAGTCGGATAGAAGTGACAGTTCAGGACCGATCAGCTGTTTCAGGACAGATCGGTTCTCCTGCACATACGATCTGCGATGCCGCTCTGCCCTGGAACAGCTGAGAAAGCGTTGGAATTCTTCATCTTTTGTCGGTCACATATGCCACACATTCTAACGCAGTCACAAAATTTGATAGAACACGGGATATGGAGAAAGGCTGCGGGGGATGGGAGAAGAGAGAAGGTGGCGTTGATAGAAGAAGGTTGTAGAGAGGGGTTGTGGGGAAGATACAGAAGCAAGAAGAGTAAACACAAGGGAGAGGGTTGGCGGGAGGAATGAGAGGAGACTGGGGAACATAGAGGTGTGGAGTGGGATGAAGGAGACAAGAAGATGAAGGAGGGTGGAATTTCAGTTATAATTTAATTTTTAAAAAAAGGCAACATGATTAGTACCTTCGAGATGAGCAGCAGGTACCTGACCTATGGCAGAAGGGAAACATTTGAATTAATTTTAATAACTTAGAGGGATCAGGAAATCAGCTACATTTTCATACATCCCCACAAGATATAAACATAGGAAGTAAAGTTACCATCTGTTTTTTTTAAGGTGGAAAAACAAGCGTTATCATCCTGATACTTTTTTTTGCATAGTCACATATTGAGTTCAACCTTTACCATCGAGTTCAACCTATTACTTGGTCACTGACCTGGAACAAACACTCAGCCAGAGAAGTGTCAGGACTTCTGATTTGAACATACTTGTTCCATATCAATGACTCCTCTATGACCTCGTTGTCATTTGTGGATTTCATTAACTATTAATAACATTATCACTTCAACTTATTCATGAATGAGTCTGACAAAAGCACCTAAAATTCCCCTAAAGGGTCAGTCCTCCCAAACCTGTTATTCTGATTCTGGACTAGTGCCCCTTGTTCTAAACAGCCACCAGCCAATCTTGGGCAGCCTCAGCCATTACAAGGGGTTTGCAATTTCCTTAAATATTCAAGTATATTTTTCTGTTTTGAAAAGAGTAGGAAATATTTAACCCCCCGTTGATTTTTTTTTTGGCTGTGTTGCACTGGCGAAATTTCCCATTATTTTCTCTCCTGAAAACACAACAGGAAGTGAGAGGAAATCTCTCTAAAGTGAGGAAAACCCCTTCTTAGACATGTTTTACTAGAACAGCAGTCCCTCTTAGGTCAATTCTGGTTCCTGTGGAGGAAAGAGTAGTCTGGAAGTACCCTATTGTGCTCTTCAAGTCCCAGCATTCAATGCACCCAGAAAAACACACTCTCGCCCACTGCTCGTCTGTTCATCCCAACCACCTGTTGGCTGATTGGTTGGAGTTCCTTTTTACTAGAACAGGTGTCCCCATTAAGACCATTCAGGCTCCTGTGGAGGAATGAGTACTCTGGAAGTACTCTCTTGTGCTCTTGAAGTCCCAGCATTCAATGCACCTAAGCAAACTCACACCCGCTTACTCTGGTCATCCCGCCTACCTGTTAGCCGATTGGTTGGAGTTCCTTCAGGTACATTGAATGTTGGGATTACTAGAGCACCGGAGAGTATTTAATGTGTACTTGTTCTTCTACAGGAGCCTGGAGGGTCAGTTATCAATGATGTATGCAACCACCACCATGGCCATGGCAGAATTTAAGTTTAGATAGAAAAAAGTAGAGCTTTTATAATGCTAATTTAAAAATTGTGCTATGCTCATTACCATTTTATTTTGTAAAATAAAGGCACAGTTGTCTTTTAAGAATGCAGAGGTGTATTAATCTGCCAGGAGTGGAGCTTTGAGACAAAAGCATATATTTTGGGTGACTTTGGCTATCTATGTGGCCTTATAGTGACCTTGTCATGGGGTCAACAAAATTCATAGGCACTACCTTGAAAATGAAGCTGCTTTATACATACCTGCCCATCTACCAAAACAACTCCTTGCGTTGCACCCCCTGCTGGTCACTGTGGTTCCTGCTGCTGACTCCTAGTGACTGCAGGACACAAGAGTAACGTAGGGGGTTGGCCGGAGAAACCAAAGCAGCCAATGGGAGAGGCGCTATTTACCACAACCGTCATTATTAAATCAGATTGGCACCAGGAGCTTTACTACAGAGTGAAGTTTTAGCAAATGGTTCAATGGACAAGTATGTATACTTTTTTGGGGGGATAATGCCTGTAAAATTTTGATAACCCTTTTGATGACTACAAAACTAAACAAAGGGACATTAATACACATACAGTAAGTCTTTAGTCATACCTCGAGTTCTGGTCCTTCTCTCTTTTTCTTTCTGTGGAAAGAATGGAAATGATTATTATTATTTCAAACAGGCAGCAGGAATGAAATTTGACATAAATTATATCTCTGGCCAAAATGTTTTGTAGTTTTGGGAATGGTGGAGAAAGTTTAGCTCCTCTGACAGGTTTTTATTGCCCCCTCTGGAGAGATTCGGCTTCTCTATTTATTCTGGTGACTATTGACATCATGGCAGAAAGAGATGAGAAATCCAAAATTCTCCAGTTGTCCCCAGACCAAAAAAATGAGGGGGAAACTTCCAACAGAGATACCTGGTCTAGTGACAATTATGGAAAAGCGGCTTGGCCTCTCATGTTCTGTTGTGTCTTTGGTAAAAAAACAGCACCAAAAAAACTTACAGGGGTTCACATCATTCCCTACTCTACCCATAACAAGCAAAAAAGCTTTGCCTATATAAAAATTCATAGTTATATTCAACCTACAATGGAAACATTTAAAATCAATTAAGAAAGCCTAAAAAAATGTGCTTTTTCTGTAATAAGGAAAGCCCTGCAGCCATCCTGCACCAGATCATATGACTAATATCAAGGCGTGGGTCATGAGGTCTCTGCTCAGGAGGAGAATCTTGGGGAAGCGACACCAGGAGACAAGCAATGCCACAGACTTTGCACTCTACCGGGATTTATACCTTACCTATCGGATCATAATACCTACAGAGACTATAATATTATCTCTGCAAAAGCAACAAATACCCTCTAGATGGAGATCCCAGGACAGAAAACTTTCCATATACACAAAATAATATAATACAATATAATATAATAATATTATTCCATTTTGGTCTTTTTGGTAACAATATATATAATTTTGATTCCTATTTTTTATGGAAGGCCCATATTATATTAGAACAACACTAGACTCAGTTATTGTATTACCATATTAATAGAAGCATTTCAACGAATTCTCCAGATTTCTTTATCAAAATCAAGAAAATGAAAACATAAAATTTTGCTCATCCCTATTAGACACATGTTAAAGCATTAAAATTCTACAAAATATTATAAAACACGTTTTAAAAGGAGAAGGCATGAATCAAACATGTGGACATCAGCTTAACTTTTCAGCCATGTGACAAAGTAGTACCATCAAGGTGTGATGTATGCTTTACACATGCACACCAGAAAAATACAGGTCTGAAAATGTATGCGCTTTCTTCCAATATTTGTGCTGCTCAAATTGTACAAAAACATCTGACTGGTGGCCATACACTGCTCAAGTTTCAGCGGAGTCCTGCTGACTCTGCCAAAACTCAACTACTGTGTGGCCCCATTGCCACCCGTCCATTCAACAAAAGTCGATAAGTATATGACCAGCTTAAGTCTAACTGAAATTGGAAACAGGCTTACCTTTATGGGATTACCGGCAGCCAAACCCAAAAGACACAGCAGAAGTACGGTACTCAGCCTCTGCAAGCCCCGAGCGGTTCTGGGTAATGTCCTAGACATGGTTTGTGCGAGATATGAGCTATGTCGCATGTCACAGGATGCAAGAGACAGCAAAGGCTAAAATGTGCTAGTAACCTGTCTTATAGCCTGCACAAAAAGCAAAGGTGGGAGGGAAGGGAGAGTGTGAAAAAAAACGAGGGGAAACCCACAATCTAAATGCACACAGGAAACAGTGACAGAGCCTGCACAAAAAGAAAAAAAAAATCCCACTTACACCGATGAGGTTGATCAGTATTCTAGGTATTGGTACCCACTCTTTAAAAGTTTGGTAAGATAAATAATTATTTTAGTACTTAGAATGGAAAGTGAAGTGTAAAAAAATAATAAGCTGATAAAATGTGTAAAGTTTATAAGGAACTTCAAAGTATATTTATAATATGAAACGCAGAGACAATGTTTTGGTATGCTGATGCCGTAAGAGTTCCCTTCACTGAAACTAAGCCCAACCCCTGAAACACAACCATCCACCATAATCCCCCCTCCACCAAACTTTACACTTGGCACAATGCAGTCAGGCAAGTACCGTTCTCCTGGCAACCACCAAACCCAGACACGTCCATCGGATTGCCAGACAGAGAAGCGTGATTGGTCACTCCAGAGAACACGTATCCACTTCTCTAGAGTCCAGTGGCGGCGTGCTTTACACCACTGCATCCGACACTTTGCATTGCACTTGGTAATGTAAGGCTTGGATGCAGCTGCTCGGCCATGGAAACCCATTCCATGAAGCTCTCTACACACTGTTGTTGTGCCAATCTGAGGGCCACATGAAGTTTGGAGGTCTGTAGCTATTGACTCTGCAAAATTGCCTCAGGGGCAATAAGCATTTACAGGATGCACTGATGCACTTTAAGTATATACTTTTAGTACTTTAAATTGTTCAATAGGTTAACGATATACTTTTTGTAGAACCACGGCCCATTTTAAATACCTGCCACAACCCTAAAGTACATTCTCCGCCTACAATGGCTTGCTTGACGCAAAGCAAAAAAAGGTATCCCTGGAAAATGTTTTGAAATGTTGAAAGCTATGCTTGCCAGGTCCCCCCCCTCCCCACCCCCCGGGGAAAGCAGCGTATCCCCATGTGGATGAGGACAAGGGTCAAAGAGGTCCAAAAGATATGTGACGGGGTCTTCTGCAGGTGAGGGGGCTTATTGGAATAATAAGTAGGAGCCCCTATATATATAGTTCTCCTCCCCCTTGTGAATGAGAAAGGGGTACTGTACATAGTATCATAAAAAAGAGAGTTTGAACGTAAATATAAACATCACACGTATGAAAAATGTCTTTTATTACAGAAAACGTCCCCTGAAGTAAATCCATCGCCAATAACATTGCTCAGCAATGGAGATCCTCGCCATTCACAATAAACATGGATTTTTGGCTACCCCCGGAGGAAATCTTCTGTTCATCGTCAAAGAGATACACTGTTGTTTTAAGAAAACATATTCTATGACTAATGTAAAATTTTACATATCCATCATAACTCCTACTCACCTTCTTCATGTATTACACTCATCTACACTCATCCTCTGTCCATATGTCACTGGGGGATCAGTGCTGAAAACCTGGGACTGTCCATATGTCACTGGGGGATCAGTGCTGAAACCCTGGGACTGTCCACATGTTACTCGTGGATCAGTGCTGAAACCCTGGGACTGTCCGTATGCAACTGGGGGATCAGTGCTGGAAACTTGGGACTGTCTATATGTCACTAGGGGGTCAGTGCTGGAAACCTGGGACTGTCCATATGTCACTGGGGGATCACTGCTGAAAACCCGGGACTGTCCATATGTCACTGGGGGATCACTGCTGAAAACCTGGGACTGTCCATATGTCACTGGGGGATCAGTGCTGAAACCCTGGGACTGTCCACATGTTACTGGGGGATCAGTGCTAGAAACCTGGGACTGTTCATATGTCACTGGGGATCAGTGCTGAAAACCTGGGACAGTCCATATGTCACTGAGAAAAAAAAAACAACAAGAAAAAAAAAAGACACAGTTCATCACATTTTCTCATGACCATGTCATTTATGGTTTAGAATGTCGCTGTAATCTAATATATGTCTGTCGTACCATCCGCCCGCTGAGAAAAAGAATAGGCGAACACTGAAGATTCATCACAGACGGTGACCCAGACCACAGTGGGATTTTCCCAGAGCGAATCCAATGCAACTCCCCAAATTTGACCATAGAGTAGGCACATTCCAATGTAGAAAACCACGCTGCCTCACGTGCCAATTCATTACTCATGGACAATCCAAATTCACAGATAGCGCCAATATAAACCACTCCATCAAACAATTCATCACATGTTCTCATGACCATGTCATTTATGGTTTAAAATGTCCCTGTAATCTAATATATGTCGGCCATACCATCCGCCCGCTGAGAAAAAGAATAGGCGAACACAGAAGATTCATCACAGACGGTGACCCAGACCACAGTGTCCCACAACATTTTGCACACAAACATAATAAGCACATTCAAGATCTGCAGGTATTTGCCATCGAACACATCCCTGAGCAGTATTCAGCACCTGAGCGTTTCCAGCGGCTATGCAGGAGAGAAACATACTGGATATATCAGCTCAACACCTTAGTTCCTAATGGACTGAATGAGGGATTGGAGATTCTCACCCTCATCTGATCCAGTTAGACCAACCATCATGGTTTCCACACCTCAGCCCCCATTAATATAGACAGACCATTACACCCAACCAGAAGGCACACAGTCCCATTAGCCATCCAAGTCATACATGTTTTTAATCTCTTTAATCCTTTTAATTATTTTAATCCTTTTAATAAAACATAATATAATACAATAACATAATATAATACATCCACATAACTGAATTTCCTCGATTTTTCAACCACTTCATGTCCCAAGTCTTTTTAGCCAGCCAAGTGCTTATCTGATTTGTATTGATGAACCAATTTTTAAATTTTTCACATGAAACAAACTTATACAGCCCCCTTTCTCCCGTAATGCTATAAGGTTTCAGCTGTATAACACAAACACCTTTTCACGGCAATGTTGCCCCATACACTGTTCGTCCCTGTAGCCCCGCCCACCTGTCATTTCTTTAAACCCGGCGGATCGCCCCCGAAAGAATCTTTGCCATCCCCCGCACATTACTGTTTGTGGCTACATATAAACACCCCCCATCACTCATCAACATCCCCCTCACTGTCCACACACTCAGAATAAGTAAATAATTCCTGCCCGAGCCATCAGAACACATCGGCAGAGCTGCAGAGCGCAGCAGATTTCTCCTGTGTTACTCCGTCCACCGGCCTTTTTTTAAACCCGGCGAATCTCCCGCCAATGTCACTCACTTTTCCTTTCGAGCTTGAGAAAGAGGATCTCCTCGAAACGCGTTGCTCCTTCACCACTGCCCCGTGCACGTCCTTCTCCAGCTTTCTGCTACCTTCACTCCACCACTTCCTAAAACACAGCGGCTAAGATCAGAGGCAGCCTCTCCACTAGCCCTCGGGCACACAAAGCCCTCAGTCTAAATCTGTTCTTCACTTTATTATTTTATTCTTTTACCCCCGGGTTCACCAACATACCTGATGACATTAATTCCAGCCAGTTTTAATGTCCAAACCCTAGGACCTGTTTTGCCTTGCCCCCAAGCCCTCATCTGGAGACCACCACACACTGACTACCACCACACAATACGTCTCGCATCGCCAGAACCTCATCGGGGCCTCCCTTGCCCGGATCCCTGGCACCCCAAGTAAGTCCCCACTTTTTGTTAATTTTTCTCCATTTGCATCCCACAGACACTGGTTGTCCCTACACTATTCACACTCTCAGGATTTGCGCTCTTATTGCTTTACTTCCATATGTCACTGGGGGATCAGTGCTGGAAACCTGGGACTGTCCATATGTTACTGGGGGATTACTGCTGGAAACCCGGGACTGTCCATATGTCACTGGGGGATCAGTGCTGAAAACCTGGGACTGTCTATATGTCACTGGGGGATCAGTGCTAAAAACCTGGGACTGTCCATATGTCACTGGGGGATCAGTGCTAAAACCCTGGGACTGTCCATATGTCACTGGGGGATCAGTGCTGGAAACCCTGGGACTGTCCATATGTCATTGGAGGGATCAGTGCTGAAAACCTGGGACTGTCCATATGTCACTGGGGGATCAGTGCTGGAAACTTGGGACTGCCCCTGAAATCTAGTGACAGTTTTATTGATGTTATATTACAGTGACGTACAAACCAAAAAAAACAACAAATCTAATGCTTCCATTAAATTTAGGAAGTGCTACAGGTCAATTATTACTCTGGAATTATTTGCGGTTATGAAAAGAGGAAATTAATATTTGGTGTGTGCTGCAAAACTACAGAGAGGAAAAAATAAAATGTCAGCATGTATGTGGAAGCGTCTAGAGTGACAGACACGTGGAAGAGAAGGAGGAGTATAATTCAGTTATGTAGAGCCAAAGGAAATCTCACCGCTCCAATTCCTCAGCCGTCATCAGGACTCCCCAGGTGCTTATCTAATAGGTGCGTCTCCACCTCGGAATGTAGTAGTGTGCGAACAGACCGCACTATCCAGACAATTCCAATGCTTCATAATTCAGTTATATTTAAATATTATTCTTTATTAATAATAACAAGCGATGGAGTTCAGGTTCCCCGCTGCTTTGGGATTGTGATGAAAACCCGTGGGATTTGCAGTTTGTGCAGCGTAAATTTTTGCCAAAAAACTGCAGATTCAGCGCAATGAGGAACAACCTATTATTGCAGTGCCACAGCCTTACCCTGGTTTATGTGTGGAAACGGTTGTCTCTCTGCAGAGGTCTGACACTCCCCCTGCTGAGGCAAAGCCAAAGCTCTCCAATCAGCACATTCATGTCCCCCCGCTGATTTGGAGAGTTCTGACTCAGTAGAGGGTGTGTCAGACCTCTACAGAGAGGTCTTCCCCTACAAGGGGCAAGGGTCCTTCTATGCAGCATGTTGGCAGGACCCAAGCTTTCCTACTCTGATTTCTTTTAAAGAAGACTTTGCACACCCTTTGTTGTGATTCACCTGGAATGTATTTAGCTAATGTAGCCCCCATCACATTCTGTGATGTGACTACTAGACATTTAGTGATTGCCAGGGCTGTAGTCAGCCTGGCTGGATTATAGTGGCAGTTATCTGGTTAATTCCAGGTGCCTGGCATTGCCTGTACCGCCCTGGGCGGAGTGTGACTCTGTCATATTGTGGGGCAGCCAATGAGACGCACTGTAGTGTATGTACAGTACAGCAGCCAATCACTGGGTTTCTCTCTACCAGTGGTGTATGCTGGGATGGGGTACATATACTGGAGGGATTTGCCATGTGCTGAGACTAGCCGGGGCCAGCCATTAAATAGGGCTGGGTGCTGTTCAGCCTGGCCCCCCAGGCTAGACCTGAGGCCTGGGGGGTGTGCATGGGCTGGTGTGAGGGAAATGTTTCCCTGAAGGCCTCCAACATGGAGGAGGTCTGTGATGCTGATAGAGAAAGAGACCCAGGACCAATGCTGGCTCCTGAAGTACCCTGGAACTAAGAGGACTTCAGGAGTATGGTCAGTGTCTTTCGTGTTTGAGGATCTGTATCCATCCTGCTTATCTGTTACATTAGTTGCCATCTGTGGATCTACACTGATATACCTACAAGGTCTGGTGAGTCTGGAGCTCTTGTCAGTTACCCCTGGAAGCTTAGAATCCCTATATCCTCTCTCCCCAGTGAAGATGTTCAATAAAACGTTACTTTGCATTTTATTACTGGGTGGACATCAGTTTGTGGGCACCAGAAGAAGGGTGGTTAGTGCTAATAAGTGGGCAACTGAAGAACATACACTAGACAGACTAGAGATGAACCGGGCAATCAGCGGCTCCTTCGGGGGTGAGCGCTACACTAATTTTACAGTTAGAACTCAATTATACCTTAAGTTCTGCACAATTTTTAGGCCCATGTCACACTTGCAGTCCCATTACTGGTGACAACTCGCCATCGACAAGATCACTAAAAAGGACAGAAAAGGTATTCACTTGTTTGTACACTGCTGCCCAGTCAGTGGCCAGATAAGGGAAGTGTCAATCACTGGCTGACGGCAACCCTGCAGAATCTCCCTCCCACTGAGTAATCACCGCACGACTCAGCTGGTCGTTGTGGCAGTGACGCTGTGTTTTCTGCTCTCTATAGTAAAGGGTAGGCAACCCTCGGCACTCCAGCTGTGATTAAACTGCAAATCCCATCATGCATCTGGGAGTCATGCCTGTGGTGGTCAGTCTTGCAATGTCTCATAGTTCCACAACAGCTGGACTACCAAGGTTGTCTACCCCTTGCTGTATAGGGACTTTGTTGCTGCCTTGTTATAGTGATCCTGAAGCTGGCCGAGATCACAAGTGTGACTCTGGCATTCACGGGTATCGCCGTGCATGCCGGAGGGAGAGCAAGAATTCTAGGGCCAGTATTTTTGGGTATCTCTAAATTGATGACCTGTGGGGGCTTTTAAAGCGTCATATATGGACTTTTTGGAGTACTGTAATTTGGCGCCGTTTCATGGAGGCGCACAACTTGTAACCTTGGCATCTACGGTATCTATTTACTCGTTGTAACCTGCTCTTTTATATTGTATTTAAAAATGGGTATTTTATTGTGTTTTGGGGCATTTAAGTGCATTTTTCACAAAATGTGGGGGTTTGATAAGGAGTTGCGCTAATTTTGTGCCACATAAAAAAATTGCAACTGCCGCCATTTTTTTTTTCTACAGGGTCTTGGGTTTCAGAAAATATATAATGTTTGGGGGTTTTAAGTCATTTACAGGTATAAAATATGGAATATAACATGGGTGCAAAAAATTGAGAAAAAAAAGGCCTCAGTCATGAAAGGGTTAAAGCTACACTGGCGTCTATCAAATGAAATTTGGGGTCTGTCCATCTAGAATTGATCTTTGTAAGTCCTGGGAATTTCGCTGATATTAAAGGAGAACTATGGGGTCAGGTCTTTCCCCATAGTTCTCCTAAGGGTAACGGGAGGACACAATCTAGCGTTCTCCCATCACCCTAAGCTCAGTAGCTGCTGCTCGCGGTATACTGAGACGCCGCAGCTGGACGGATCCCGACAATACTGTCTGGATCCACCCAGCTGCGGGATTGACAGCTGCTCTGCCTATCCAGAGGCGGAGCCAGCTGTGCCCGCCCCCTCCCCTGTCCGTTTCGCCAGTCAGCGCTGGAGGATAGGAGCGGGAAGGGAAGCCATGAGTGACAGTCACGGCTCCCTGCAGGGATAGATAGAGAAGTGAGCGAGCGGCGTTATGTGTTCGCTCACTTCCCGATCTACTGAGCCGACCTGTGACAGTTTCATTCTCACAGGTCGGCTCAGATTATGAGGCTGAGTGAAAAGCACTCGCCTCATAATTCTCCTTTAAGGGACAGTTCTGTTGAAGTTACACACAGATCAAAACCCACAATTCTTAACGATTTGGCTAAATTTAGGTGTTTAGGGTGACAAGTCAAGTATTATTAAGCATTAGTCACAGTCCTTGACATAACAAGGACATTGGTGTTTTATGTTTACTACACAACTACAGAAAGGGAAAATAAAGGGCGGTATCTGGAGGAGTCTAGACTAGTGCTCAAGATAAACAGAAGTAAAAAGATTTTGCAATTTTGTAATGTGTATGTCATCTAAAATGTCATATATTGCAGCTCACCAGTCCTTAGATGTTGTGGCCGCATCAGGGGCTGATCCACAGTCTAGTCTTGGGAGGGGCACTGTCAGAAAATAAGGTCCAAGTTGTAGAGGGACTACAAATCCCAGCACTACATTATACAGCAATGCTGAATGGCATGGCTATAAAGGACTACAAATCCCAGCATTACATTATACAGCAATGCAGAATACTATCAGCTACAGATGACTACAAATCCCAGTGATACATTATACAACAGTGCCGAATGGCAACTGGCTATAGAGGACTACCAATCCCCGGCAATACCTTATACAGCAATGCAGAATAATATGGAGCTACATACTCTGTGCTGCTCCCTGGTTTCCGGCCTAATGTCTCCAGCAGAGGATCTCAGGAGGGCTGTGGAGGATCTCAGGTGGGCTGTGCGGGGTCTCAGGAGGGCTGTGCAGGGTCCCAGGGGGACTGTGTGGGGATTCAGGAGGCTGTGCGGGGTCTCAGGAGTGCTGTGTTGGGTCTCAGGAGGTGGTGCAGGGTCTCAGATTGGCTGTGTGGGGTCTCACCAGGGCTGTGCGGGATCTCAGGAGACTGTGTGGGCTCTCACCAGGGCTGTTTGGGGTCTCGGGGACCGGTGCGGGCAGTGGGCTTCCCCAGGAAGGAGGAGGTGGAGATGTGCAACCCGCGCATTAAACAAGCGCAGTATGGTTAGCAGGAAGGCTGCCAAGGTCCCTAGCAAGTGTGGGACCTCAGACAGCTGCTTCAGTTTAAAAATTGTATGTGCCTGTATCTGTGTTTAGTATTGGGGGGATGCCCATACTAGTACTGGTGCATCTCTACTGTATAATGTAATGTATTGATAGGATTGGTAGTCCTGCATAGCTGGTGGTATTCTGAATTGCTGTATAAGCGCTATACAGCAATGCAGGATACCACCAGCTATACAGGACTACAAATCCCAGCAATACATTATACAGCAAATCAGGAATGCTGAATACCACCAGCTACAACCCCTCACCCCCCACCACCACCACCAGCCTTCACCTACCCAGACATGGACTCCCCTCAGTACCAGCCTCACCTAACTCCTGCCTGATTCACACAGCACCTTCTTCTCCTTGGCAGCCAGGGGACGGGAGGGAGTGCAGGAGAGGGTCCTCAGCATCTCCCACATAGTGTGATATGCTACCTGGCTGTGCCTGCAAAGTCGGTAGAAGCTCTGCCAGGCTGAACAGTCCTCACAGGTGACCAGCCTCTTCAGCACGGCACTACTGCCCCTACATACAGCGGTCCTACTATTGAGGGTGGCAGAGCGACAGCGGCGGGCGTGGCACTACCTGGGGGAGGGGGGCCATTGCCCCATTGCCCCCCCAGATCTGCCACTGTGCAGCATACGTTTTCTTTACCTCTTTATGTTCACTTGGCCAGGGAATTCCATTGCATGTAAGCAAGGGGGCGAGATGCAGTGACATCATTGGCCTTACATGGCTACATGACTATATTAGGTAAATTAAATGTGATTTTATAATTTGCCCAGAGTTCTTCTTTATGTATACAAGATGGCTATTCCCATATCCCGTCCCCTGTTCTTCTATTCATTGTAGTCAGTCACTGCCGCTATGTTAGTCTGGAGTTCCCCTGCCACCACCCTATCTCCTCACTTTCACCTTAACTCTAGTTACCACGAATTGTTTTTATATCAAACTTCACAGACACGCACTGGTGAAGGTTTCTAGTTAGATAACATTATAAAACCACAATCATTTCTTTAGAATGTTCGGTTTTTACTTTTTAAAATGTCCAGTCAGTGAAATTCCGCTA